TGAACGTGCGGACCAGACCGTGAGGCCCTCGGGGCCCAGGGCAGGCCCAGGAGGCCGTGGGCTCTGCAGTGCCCAGCCTGGGTGACCGGGCAGGTGGGCTGCCCTCAGGGGCTGGTAGGAACAGGGAGCAGGTGCTGACCCTGGGGCTACGCCTCCCACAGACCCGGGTCACGGGCAGTTCCCTGTGGGGAGCTGGGACACACGGGCATCAGGGGCCCAGGGAGCCGGAGAGGGCGGACATGGGTGTCCTGGGCGGGGCGTGCTGGGAAGGGGTGCGGGCGAGCGCCCAAGGCAGGTCCTGCACCATCTGCGTGTGAGTCACCCTGGCGGGCTGGGCTGCTCTGCCCTCACCATGCACAGGCCCCAGGGCCTTCGGGGCTGAGAGACTCGCCTTCGAGAAGTGTCGAGGCTCCACGCTGTGGCCCCCACCCTGGGCGAGGGGCAGAGTCCACCTGCCACCCGTCCCTGTCCCAGCGACTCTCTGGCCCCCAACTCTAGTTTTTAATGTCCTGGCTGGACAGCCAGCGAAGCACCAGGGGCCGCAGGGCGTGGGGTTCTGGGTTGGCTGGGTTGGGCGTAAAGCACCCCGGTGCAGGTGCAGCGTGGGATGGACAGACACCGCGGAACGCTTGTCGTCAGTCTGAAGCTCAGACGTCACAGGCGTGCTGACCACGTGACGCCTGGTGACCCAAAGGGGCTCGTGCCAGCCAGTGCTCAGCCCTGACAGACAGGCCAAGTCCCTGCGACAGCCAAGCATGACTACCCATGCCGCCACCCAGACGGGCACGCGGGCCCCACTCTGGAAGCCTTAAGGAAGCCAGGATTGCCACTCCCCTCCCTGGGCGCCCCCTACCTCCTGAGCCTGCTGGTCATTTTCAAGCCCAGGACAGTAGTTGTCCAGGCCTGCCTGTGGGGTGGCCCATCTGCAGTCGAATCTGTCCCCACTATAGCCGGCTGACTCGGGCTGCAGGACGGTCAGGGCCCTCTCTCAGGGCCCAGGGATGCAAGCACGGGTTCTCAGTGTTGCCCACAGTGGCCTTGGCTGTGTGGGAAGGCCCCATCCACGGGGACTTAACAGACAGGCCTCCCACAGCGAGGCCACGGGAGACCTGAGGTTGCCATGTCAGGGTGTCAGAGTTCAGGCTGGTTGTGGTGGAAACCAGCAGCACCTAGGGGCCAGCAGCCTCCACGCTGAGGGGGTGGAGGGGGGCCAGGTGGGACCTTGCAGACAGAGACCTGATGCCACCTCCCAGGGCTTAGCTTTGCGTGCGAAGGCGTGGTCAGGCCGGACAGCTGCCTCTTCCCTTGCCCTCTTTGGCTCCTCCCGAGCCCAGCCAGCAGGTCAGTGCTCAGCAGACACGCCTTGGCTGACCTCACCCACTCCACGTCACCAGGGCCAGGTGACGACCGAGGCTGGCCTTTGGCCCGTCCAGCTGGGCACTGACCTAGGCCTCCATTGGGCCGCTGGCCCCTCCTGCTGCCGGGCCAACCTGACCCCCAAGGGCAGGCTGGGCTCTGGGAGAGGCTGCTCAGACCCTCGCACATGGACCATGCGGGGCCTGCAGGAGACAGGGCTGACCCCAGGGGCCAGGCCCTCCCCCAGGGCCCTGCACGTGTGCCCACAGGCGCGTGTGTGTATGCGGCACGTATGTGCGTGTGCGGGCGTGGGAGTGTGTGTGGTGGTGGGAGTTGGGGCCGGCTGGGGAACAGGGCCTCAGAAGGTGAGAGGTGGCGGTGTGGTCCCTGGGGTCTGCGTGCAGCGAGGCCTGGGCGGGTGCAGGGGCTCCCAGGTCTCTCCTGGCTTCCTGCCCACTATGGTTTCTGTCTGTCCTTCCTTCCTTCTCTCCTTACTGTTTTTCCCCAAAGGTTTCCCCTGTAGGGTGCACTCGCTGGAGAGAGGCACAGAGAAAGTGAGAAGCCACTCCTGGGAGGATGGCCATGCCACAGCCCCTCCTCCTCTCAGGATTTGGGCACGCGTGCACATGCGCCTAGTGTGATTGACAAGCCACCGAGCCCGAGCACGCACTGCAGTCGGCCCGGTGGGAGTCCAGCAGCGTAGCCGTCACCTGCGGGCTGGCCCCTCTTTCTGTGTTTTTTTTAATCATCAGAGAGCGTGTGCTCCAGCCAGAGACAGACGAGAGAGAGCACCCCGGGGCACGTCCCTTCTCTGCTCCCCGCCTGCCGTGGGAACGTGTGTACATGCGCCTGGAGTGTTTTTTGTTCAGGCCCCCACGGCCAGGATTGAAGCCACCGTCTGCCACCCGGCAGACCCGTCTCTCCCGCCCGCATCCAGGCCTGCAGCAGCGCCCGTGGGTGAGGGGAGGGTGGTGGAAGCAGGCTCCGGGCGGAAAGCCTTGGATCTGGGGTGGAAGGTTCAGACCCAGATGGATGGAAGGGCTGAGGCCAAAGGAAAGAGGGAACTGCCCCCTCTTCCCGCCCCAGGAGACAGTTCCGTGCAAAGCCCGGTCCCAGGCAGGGCCAGCCCTTCAGTGGCACCACAGGAAGCATGGCAGGTCCTCCCCGGCCATGGTCGGCCACAGAACAACTGCACTGCTGGTGACATCGTGCGTCCTGGCAGGACTTCCCAGTTAGAGAAAGGAATTTCGTAAAAAGATCACAGGGGCCGGCAGGTGGTGTGGTGGTTAAGGGCGCTGGACTCCCACGTGGCCATCCGCGGTTGAAGTCCTGGACCTGGAGGCTTGCTCTCTCTCCTCTCTCTCTATCCCTCTCTGGTCAAAATAAATAAATAAATGGATAAGTAAAGTTAAATAAATAATTCTTTTTAAAATAATTACTACAAATAAATACAGTTATATAAAAAATAATTCTTTAAAAAAAAATCACAGGGGCCAGCAGGTGGTGTGGTGGTTAAGGCAGCTGGACCCCACGTGGCCAACTGTGTGGTTTGAATTAGGGATGCCTACAGCTTGAAAAACACGTCTGTTGGACCACAGTTCGAGTCCCAGACCTGACGGACTGCTTTCTCACTCTGTTTTTCTCTGGTGAGCACATGTACCCTATAGCAAATTTAAATAATAATAAGAAATAAAAACAAATAATTCTTTGGGGGAAAAATGAAAAATACGTCCACATGCATCGTAGAGGAGGGTGGAGAAGGGATTGCAGCCTGGCCTCCCCCTGAGGGGCGATCTCTCTCTCTGTCTCCCTGGTGCGTGCATGCACCCTATAGGAAAGTAAGACACACAGGGAGGCGTGGCCGCTCTCTCCGAGGCCCCGTGAAGCCCGGGGCTGTCAGCAGGTGGAGGATGGGAAGGCTGCCTGCGCTTTGTCCCGCTGTGTGCTGGTCCCTGCCCCCAGCGCCAATGGGTCCCAGCAGGAACGGGCACCACCCCTCTTCGGGCCTCCAGCCAACTCCTGGTTCTAAGAGAGTGGGTCAGAGTGATGCTGGTGTTCTCTCGGGAAGGTGTCCGAGGAGCGTGGCCGGGAACCTGCCCTTGGGGAGTTGGCACAGAGGGCAAAGCCACTGTTCCAAGTGTGGGGTACCCCCTGCGGCTGCAGGCAGGCGCCGAATGCGTGGCGGGTCCAGGGCACACCTAGCACTTGGGGTCTCGGGGCAGCTGGGACAGGGCACCTAGCTCCACAAACGCTCATCCCAGCTGCTGCCCTGGCCAAAAGCAGAGTGGACAGCATCACGCTGCTCAGGAGACGCCCATGGAGGTTCCAGATTCAAACACCAAAGTGATACCCTCTGGCGGTCAGCGCACTCCCCAGGAGCCCCAGGCCTTTTTTTCTTTCTTTTTAAAATAATTTGTTTTTTATTTAATTTTATTTATTTACTCTTAATTTGAGCAGAGAAAGACAGAGAGAGAGGGAAACTGAGAAAGCAAGCCACCAGTTCTGGGATTCAAACCGTGGTTGGCCATGTGGGAACGTCCAGCACCTTAGCCACCATGCCACCTGCTGGTCCCTAGCCACAGACCTGTTTAAAGGGGTACTTAAAAGCAATGTCTTGGGACAAGACCTTGAAGCCTTAAGACCGAGGCAGGAGGACGGCGGGGTCACAAGGACGTGGCCGGCAGCTCTGCCCCTGCTCCCACACTGGACAGTCGCTGGGAAGTGCTGTGTCTGTAACTGTCCCAAGCAGACAGACAGCCCCAGAGACGGGCGCAGGCCACGCAGGCAGCGTGTGAAGCCACCAGAAGCCCCCAACCATGGAAGCCACCCTGAGTGGTAGCCTGTCACCTGGACAGGGCCAGCTGTCAATCAAGTAACAAGGGGAGGGTCATGGCTCCATTGTCCCCAACCCACAAGGGCTATTGCGAGGGTGGGACACACTGTGGCTGGGAAGGCGTCTGTGGCCCTGGCCGGCTGGAGAACGAGAGCCCTGCGTGTCTGATGGAAGGGGGTACGTTGCACCCACCCGAACGTGACCTGTGACAGGGAGGACGTGGGCACGGGACATGACGTCCCCGCGTGTGAGGGACATGGTGGGGCAGGGACCTGGCTTGCGGTCCCTGGAGTCCAGCTGCGGGGTGAGCAGAGGGCTGGGAGGCCGCGGGCACACCCCTGGGCCTGTCCAGTCTCGGCTCCCCTCCCACCAAAACCCCCAACGATGCTTCCTGCCTCAGCTTCTGGCAGCTGCAGGCGTGCCTCGGGTGTGGCGGGCGCCCCCTCTGCCCCCGACTTCCCACGGCTGCCTCCACTGTGGGCATCCGTGTCCAGATCCCCTCTCCAAAGACACAGCCACGCAGGGCCGTGGCTATCACAAGGCCAGGTCTGTGGCAGGCCTCACGCCTACCACATGTGTGGAGTGTATGTGCATGTGTGGTGTGTGCATATGTGTGCGATGTGTGTGTGCGCGGAGTGTGCGTGCATGTGCGATGTGTGTGCTTGTGTGTGCGAACTGTGCGTGTGTGTGCAGAGAGTACGTGCATATGCCGTGTGTGCGTGAGTGTGCATGTGCCGTGTGGGCATGTGTGTGTGGTGCGTGCATGTGCGAAGTGTGTGTGCGTGTGCAGAGTGTGCGTGCGTGCGTGGAGTGTGCGTGCGTGTGCAGTGTGCGTGTGCGTGTGCGTGCCTTTCCCGGGTGACGCCTTCAGGTGGGTTGCCCTCCTCACGCTCTCCTCTGTGGTGCCGTGGATGTCTCACTGGGCCGTGTGGACCGTGTGGAGCGTGTAGGAGGGCAAAGAGCCACCCGCCTGTGGTGACACATAGGGACTAGAACACATTCCAACCAAAGTCCAAGACAAACACCGGCCACGCTGACCGCAAAGCCTCCCACCCTCGGGACTGCCTGGAACCCCTGCCCCGGGTGTGGGCACAGCACGGAACCACCCTCTCCAGGGGCACCTTCGACCTGCTCTCCGCATGACGACCACGCCCCGCGGGGCCTGCTGAGAAGGGCCCTGCCCCGTGTGGCTGGGAGTGACAGATCGCAGGGCCAGTGCACTCTGGGCCTGGAGCTGCCTCCTCCAGGCTGGGCGGTCCCTCCCGTTCATGGCCCAGAAGACTTCGAGGATGAGGACGGGGACAGCTACCTGCCCTGGGGGCAGCACAGGGCCTAGCTGTGCTTAGGCGGGTTCAAGGTACGGGGACCTGAGGCCACATGCTCAGGTGGGGCTGGCCACTGCAGACGCGGGCTCCAGGCGTGGTTGGGGCAGGTCAGAGTGCTGCTTCTGTGCCGGTCTGCGAGCGAGTGGGTGCTGGAAGCCCCGATGGGTGTGCTGTGCGCCCAGGGGTGCCACAAGGAGAAGGGGGCTCTGACTCAGCACAGCTGCGGGAAAGGGGGTGGTCTGTGGGTGGCGTCAGGTCAGACAGGCTGGATGAGGGGCCAGCAGGTGGTGTAGTGGTTAGGGTGCTGGAGTCTCACATGGCCGACTGTGGTTCAAATCCCGAACTCAGTGGCTTGAAAATCACACCCAGTGCGTGTGCGTACGTGCCCAAACTCCCAGGTGAAAAATGAAGAGGGGACCGTGGCCTGGCCATCCCCGGGGTGATTTCCCACTTTTCCTCTCTGTCTCTCTCCAGCAAGCACACACGCCCTAAAGCAAGAAAGTTCTTTAAAAAAAAAAATGACTGCAGGAACCAGCAGTTAGCGTAATGGCTATGTCGCTGGACTCCCACGTATTCGACCGCGGTTCGCGTCCCAGACCCGGTGGCTTAAAACTCACGCCGGGCGCATGAGCATACGTGCCCAAGATCCCGAGAGGAGAATGGAGAAGGGATTGCGGTGTGGCCATCCCCTCTGGGGGGTAATTTCTCGCTTTCTGTCTCTGTCTCTCTCTGTCTGGCGAGCGCACAC